GAAATACCACTCCAGATCTTTGCTGGGTAATAATGATTTTCCTGTATTAATAATTACAATTTGGTTAACCTAGTTATAATGAAAAGAAGGCCGTAGCACTTGCATGAGTAATAGTCTAATTGAGATACATATAAAATATTTGGGAAACCACATTTTCTAATAATATTAGCTAATCACACGATACGATTATTTGGAGGTGTGATTTTTCAGCATCACTCGTGAAAAAAGTTACAACCAAAATAATAAGGTACCACACCAACCACGTAAAATAACTTGTTTACCTTTTTTGACTCCATTTATCATCTAGATTATTGAATTTAAATCCGATATTGCATGGTTTTACAATATATATTTTAATAATAATGTGAAAGCTTTATATAATAGTACTAAGACTGTATGATTGTTCTGACCAAAAAAAAAAGACTGCATGATTGTTCTTTTTAGGGTCCTTATTATAAACCAGAATCTCTTTTGGGATTACGTCACTCACAAGTTTAAGCTCCAAAAATGCAGCAAAAGAATTTAAAAGGGTATGAAGGAAGAAGTGCATGGAAAGCATTGCTCGGAACTCATACCTCTCGCAAACACAAAGCAATCCTTTTCTTTTTCCATATGCTAGCCTATACCTTTTTGACTTGTCTCCCATAATGTTGTCTCACTAAGATATATAAAACTTGGTGTTCACAACAGGAACCCTAAAGATGGAGGGACCATATGTCGGTGTCTCAAGCACTTTTTGCTCTATAAATTAGACCTATTAAAAGCCCTACTGGATATTTAATTGTTAAAAAGCTCAGCATATTTGACTAAGAAGTAAAGCAAGTGCTTAATTCGTGGTTAAGTACTTCCCAATAAGAGCATAGTTGAGCAAAAAGAAGGATAAGCGTGCCTAGGTTATTTGTGTGATCATATTTAGGAAAAGGTATTCTTTATAGGGTCTTGCTTAATAATTCGATTACATAGTCTTCTTCTTCTTCTTCATGTTCCTAATCCAAATCAATCTAAATACTGTTGGCGTATGAAATGAGCACCGATCGGATGCAAAACATTCGATTGAAGTAAGGATCAGAGTATTTTAGGAGAAGCAAACAATTTTTAAAGACTCTAATTAAGGTGGTGTGTATTTCTCCTAAATTAATCATTTCTCACATTCCAGAAATCGAGCCCAAAGCATTAATTCAAGTATTCTCAAAAGGACCGGAAAGAAAAAGAATAACAATTGAAAAGAAAAAAGGTGGTAAAACAATGTAAAAAAAGGAAAGAAGATGAAGAAGAAGCAGCAGTAGCAGCAAGAGTAGAAGAACGGAATTAAGAAAAAGAAGTACCTGGTAAGTCCCATGGCTCACACTTGTAGAGATCAACTTCAGGGATGACCTCTAATTCGATCTACGGCCATTAATCTTTCTTTTGAGGTAGTAAGCAACCAGCTCTTCGTCTGTGGGATGAAACCTAAAACCAGGAGGCAATGAAACTGGAGCCATAAAATATGGACCTTCTTCTTCTTCTTAATTGTCCTAAAAGGGCACAAATATTATGGCTAGCTAGCTAGGATGACAACGCTCGTCAACAAAACAATCAAGAATTGCACCACAACACCCTGTAAAAACCAATTAACCACAAACCCTATTAGAATGTTACAATTTTAAATAAATACACCATGCATATCTATATACATACGTGATATATCGCACGTATGTACGTACGTGTATGTTTATACACACACAAACAAACCTTAGCTAGCTAGGAAGAGGAAGAAGATGAAGATCCAAAGCTGGGAATTGAGAGGGAGAAGGAGGAAGGAGTGTGTGGAAGTTGAGAGAGAGAAAGAGAGAGGTGGAATGTTGGGGGGTTGCTTGGGGTTTTGTTAATAAGAGAACAAAAAGGCAATGAAAAAGCAAAATAAAGATGGGGAGGCTGCCACCCCCACCCCACCTGATATTTCCCCAACTTTAACTTTACACATTTGTTTTTCCTCAACCAATCAACATGATCATGATTCTTCCTATCGTTCTTTGGAAGCTGCTTACTCTCTCTCTCTCTCTCTCTCTCTCTCTCTCTCTCTCTCTCAAATGATCCCATGCTTCGTTCTTGTCCTTTCTTGGAACCTCTGCTCCACGTGGTGGTATCTTATTGGAGGCATTACCGGCCTTTTGTGGAAACAAGTATATTTCTTAACGAGAAATGGCGGAAACGAATTTCGGCGGCGTTCTAACTCAAGACTGTCCTTTTCACATGCTCATCCGCCCGTCCCCACATTCCTTCCTCAGTTTCTTTTTCCTTTTCTAATACCCGATTAGATGATTAATTAGTATCTTCCTTTTGTCTTTTCTAGTCATTGGTATAAGCTATCCAATCCAACTAACAGTTTTCACTTTTTTACTTTTTTACTTTTTTTTTACTTTTTTTAATAACTCAGACCATACCAGGAATTAATCAAGCCATTAAGCTCCTAAAAATAGTAATTTTTGTATGTTACAGGTATACCAGTTGGCTAATATACCATCTAATATACATAGGATATGTGAAAATATTTTATTTTTATTTTAAATGCAGTGTAGTAAGTTGGAGGGTCCAAACCACATGTCCTATGTATATTGGATGGCAAGCCGGATAAAAGTAACCAAATATTCAAGTAAGTTCTTAGATTATTTCTCCCTAAAAAGGGTTATCATGTTATATAAGCGTAGCCTTGTAATTGATACGCAGTTTATGCTAAATTTATAAGAATATGAGAAAACTTGGCATCGATGGATTTGATCCCATCACCTATCAATTTGATATCAAAGCCCAATTGTGTATGGTGGTGTTCATGGAGTAGAACTCCACGACTTACAACAAGTGTCGTTTGGGACGGAGATGGATGGAAGTTTATTAATGTGGCAACCCATATGAGATATGACGATATAGAAGAGGATGATTCAATACCTTACATAATGTATCGATATCCATGCTCAATATATTAATTTCCACAAAACGGATTTTGACTGCAAAGTCAAAAGTTACAAGGCTCATATTGAATAACGTTTTCAAGAACTTTAAAAAAAAAATTCCGTCTTTTCAATTCTTTTTTATTCATCAACTACCTCTAGTTTTTTCTCAAACTTAATTTATCTTCATATTCTATACCATGAAAAATGGTTTTAATCTCAACTTTTTCAGTATGAGCCTGTAACTCTTCATGGTGTATAGAATTGTTTATATCATTATCTGACTGAGCCTCTTCGGCAAGGGTAATACACGGGAAACAATACCCTAATCGAAGGCCTCCTGATCCAGCCCATCCATTGAGACCCATATCGGGCATCGTCAAGGGGACTGGCTCAATGTGGGACTGTTGGTGTCACCCGGGAGCTGCCATGTGTCCTTGAACCAGACCGGTAGGATGGCTTGTCGAGAAAATGATAACCTAAGGTGCTCTCCATTTCTCTTCTATAAATAGGGCTCTCATCCCAATGCACTAGGTAACAATAATTTGACACTTGTGTCGTTACTATGTCAAAATACTTCCGTTTTCTATTTTTAAGTGAACCTAAGTATCGGAGAACCTTCAGCCAATACCACACAGTGCCAAGTTCTTCACCTTTACTCTCTCCCTCAATGTGATTGATTACAAATCCAAGCCACAGTACATGATTTGAAGAACCGAAGAAAACACTAATTTATATCCGTAGACTTGCTAATGACAACCATACAGTACTTATAACTGGTGCCACCATATCGTGTAGAACTGGTGCCAGGGTGACAACTCAAGTTCATATCTCCAATCCCAATTAATTTAAATAAATAAAAAGTGACTTTTATACCATTAATCACTTGATCACTTGTCACTCATACCATAAATTTCTTACTAATTATATGTAATTTCATACCATATATTGTTGGATAAACTTCAAATCCCCTTTATGTAGATTAGATTAATTTAGATTATCATTTGTATTATAAAAAAAACTTGGATGATTGACATTTAAAATTTGTTCAAACTCCAGCATATTGGCATGAACGGACCAAATATTCCTTAGATGCAAAGGGAAATCCAACAATTAAAAGGGTACAGGCCGGCTTATGGTTACTTAGAGATCTATAGGCCCAACCAACCCACATACGGCAAAGGTGGGAACTTTCGAAACCCAACTATGAGAGCTTGAGGATATCATAAGCGAAGACTTGTGAACTTGTGAAGGCACCGAAACGGGAGCGGCTATAACGTAACTGCATTTATGTCTAATCTCAAAGACAGGAAATAAAAGATATGTCTCTTCTAGCCGAGTGGAAAATGACCTTCATTTGCTGATAAGAGGTCTCAGGTTCGAACTCCATTACATCTTAGTTATGTATGCGTGTGAGAAATCTCTCTTCCCTTTAGTTTAGACTATAATTTGTACTAAAAACAAGATGACAACAACCAAATTATAAGGATTTAAGCTTTTCATATATGTGCGATTATGCCAAAACCTCCATTGAAGTATGGACGGAAATATTATTTGGAACTCAAAGATGCTATGCAAATTTGGTATACGTAGCATTACCAAAGGAAGTTTTGGAATGCATGAAAACAGATGAAGCACTTCACTTGCAATGAAGTAATTAATATTAATTAACCTTTTTATTTAGCTGGAAACAAAGTTAAACATTAGAGAGAGAGAGACACCAAAAAAGAAAAAAAAACTGCAATATTGAACATTAGATAGAGAGAGAAGAAAAATTACAATATGATCAACAGTCAAAAAGTTCAATTTATTTATGAAAACAAAGTTGTCAAAAGACTTTCCCCTAAGAAGACTCATTTTCCTATATTATGAACTCAATCCGAATACATTAGAGCAATTGGAGATGATCCAGGAAAATGATTATTGTTACTTATTTTTATTCCCATATATGGGAGAGACAAGGAAGGCCTACCCAAGACCATAAACATAAAAAAGTATACTGCAAGAGAAAGGGACCCCATGTACACAAAGTACTAGTTTTGATCCATCAAACAAGTTGGCCGATTTCGATCTCTATTCAATACCGTTCATCTTTTTGAGAAGGAGGACAAATTCATACACCTTTTCTGGGTCTGGAATGATTTTGGCTACTGTCTCTCTCTGCAAGCACCTCTTAATCCAAGCTGAAAACTTTGGGGTGTGGTCTTCAACCTTGAAGTTGCCAAACCTTTCGAATGCATTAAACCAGCTGGTTATAGCAATCGCTATGATGTCCACAAAACCAAAGCTATCGCCACCGAAGTAATCCTTGTCTCCCAGACCACCCTCCAGCTGCTTTAAGATCTCTATGAAGTCTTTTACAGCCACCGCTTGTGCTTCTCCTTTGGTTTTCCATATGTTGCCGCCCGCATCGAACAACTTCATGTGTACAAGAATATCATGAAGTTAGACATGTGCGCATACTATATTATATATAGAGCCATCAAATTTGTTCACCAAATAATATGTGGGTGCACCGTGGCTATCGACAGTAAACACAAATATTTGTGTTCTTAAACTCAAAGAGCACAAAAAAAGAAAACTCATAAAGCACCAAAAGGAAAAAAGTGTCCTATGAGTTGGAGTGGGAAATGCAACATCGAAATCTAAGATTGCAGACCATAAAAAATAGAAGAAAACCAACCTTTTTGTCAATGAAGTCAACCCAGAACTTGGCTTGAGCCCGACCATAAGGGCAAGATGGGAGTAGTGGTGGTGAAGCCCAGGTCTCATCAATGTAGCCAACGATGATGCTCGACTCACACAATGGTTTTCCATTGTGAAGCAGCACTGGCACCTTCGCGTAAATCGGGTTCGACGTGAGCAGCAGTTCACTCTTGCCTCCAAAGAGATTCTCAGCTCTGTTTTCATACTTGATGCCCTTTTCCTCCAGGGCAATCTTCACCCTCATGCAGAAGGGACTCGCCCAACAGTCCAAAAGAATAACATCAGACATCTTTGCTATGAGTGCTTCTATCTCTTCTATATGATTGTTCTCTTTAGATTGTGTTATCAAAATGAGGTAGATGTGGAAATTTATAGGAATGTGTATTGTTTGGAGATGACGTTTTCGATGTTCGTAAGGCCTATGTGTTGTTCTTGTTTTGCCCTTCGAAGAGAGGCTAGGCTCTTGTAAGTTTCATAATTTAATATATGTCAAGTAGCGTTGTGTGTGTGTCACTTTGGAGCTTACTATGCTTGCACAAAGGCTTTGTCTTGGAGTATGTAGAATCGGCAAAGCCGGCCATCTGACATCTTGAGACAGAGAGAGAGAGAGAGAGAGAGAGAGAGACGGGCTTACTATTTATGAAATTTACACTTCATATGAATTGCAACCCATATTAGGACATAACTACACTCAACCATATGCTTGGTTTTCTAATTTTCCGTCTACTGTGGCAGTTGAGATTTCGGAGTATTGGAATGTCAGGGATCCTTGTAGTTTTCTGTTGTTTCATCAAACAAATAAAATTACACCCAATGCTAACCATACAATAAATTTCTTCACTGCGCATGTCACAATCTACTTAAAAATCTCACCTATCAGCTGGCTGTTGAGCTATACAAGTCCAAATATAAAGGGCAACTAAAAACCAGCCCTTCAAATTAAATTTCTTTTGAGTTCTCATATCCCTCTTCAATGTCATACTTCTGGTATACCAAACCTTGATTTGCCTCCCACCATCTTTCTGCATCTTTGTCAGCGAACTTTTTTCGGCTGCAAAACACAACCCCAAGTAGCAACTGTGATTCAGTTAAAATTGATTCCATGCTAACATAAAGATATGATCTTCATATATAATAAGGTAACCGACAGAACACCTAGGAATTATTTTATTTTATTTTTAAAAAGTAAAGAGAAGATGAATACCAGTTAATATTCTAGAGGATGAGAAAGACTTGAAAGCAAATTAAACCGTTGACTATTTTAAACATAAACTTGTGTTAAAGATTCGGAACCTTATACGTTTTAGCTTCTGTTCCCTCTCACAGAAGACATCATTCATGCACAAGTATAGCTAAACAAACATGGAATGATTCAGATAGAAAATACCTAAATCTCACTCGCTTTAGCCCCTTCTGTCCACTTGGCAAAACAACAAGCGTGATATACACTCCAGGTTCATATTGTTCTACCCATTCAAGCTTCACTGCTTTAGTTTCTCTTTGCTGGGATTCTGTTTTTGCAGGATGTAAATCCTCCTCTGGCCGGCCTTTCTTTAGACAAGTATCTCTCTTGTACAAGGACTTCGGTGTATCAGAGAACCCAATAGGAGTATCAGGTATGCTATCTACTTGAGGAAGTAAATGATGACTTGATGTATCGGTATTCAATGGTGTGAGTTGAGGAACAATTTTAGCAACCACATCATTTGTTTCCCTTCCAGCAGACACCTTTTCTGACATAGTATTAAGCTGCAGCAAATAATTTGTGTAAGTTATCGACTTTACTAACTGCATTGCACCAAAACTGATATACCACAATCACAGACTGAAATATAGAAGTACATTTATCTGTCCTGTAAAACAAGATTGCACAAATAGAAACTCATGATTCAAGAACTTGACATCATAAAATTTGTCCCAGAAATTTTTTTGATGGCTAGAATTTCATCAAATGTCCCCTTGCAGAAGGCTTGGATGTATTTTCAAATAATTTAAATTAAGTTTCCCTGTCCAGTGACTAGAAGGCCGAAAGAGAAGAGAGTGAGACACACAATATAAGATTCTCAACAGCTGTATTTAAGACAAGTTTATGCTTAAAGTTACTTGAAGCAACTCTCATTGTTTATGTACCAGAAAAACATCCTGCAAATGTCTAGCTTTTCAAAGTTATCTAAAGTATTAATAGAAGGAAAGTTAATAGTTCATCTCACATTGCAAGATGCTAAACATTTTGGGAACACTCTACTAATAAAGATCAGAAAAAAGAGAGGAAAGAGGCCTTAAAAAGTTATTAAACTTAAGTATGATTATGAGACTGCACAAACAGGTACACTTGAAGTAGTACACACAATCAACGAAGTTGAGATATGATTGATATCAAATGATAGAGTCCATATAAGAATTTGAGTGGGGATGTGGACAATTATGGTCATGGTCTTACATTACCCAATATCATATTGATAAGTAACTGCATTGGTGTATTGCCATGACTCAAAGACAGATTTGGGGCTTTGAATTCCAGGGAAAATTAATTATTTCTTATAGAAACAGGATGACAACCAAATTATAAGCTTTTCAAGCTACAATTTTCATGGCATTGAGAAGTATATGACATTGTAACAGATGGAACAAAAATGAAACTTAAGCGATCAAAAGAAGACATGGACTTCCTTCAAAAGCAAAATGAAAATTCATGGAGTAAAAAAATTGCAGCCTTTTATATAACCAATTATTTTTTAGGAGAAACAACGAGAAATTACCCTTAACGCCAAAGCTTTTATAATCTCGTGCGCTGCCTTGCACGTAGCCACTTCCTCCCTTGCAAAGGACCATGTTTCCTCCATTTTCTGTTGACATTCATGAATCTTGTGGCTTCCAATTTGACATTTCCGTTGGAGGCTTATTGCCTAATATGAGTAAAGTGGTGAAAAACATATCCAAAATAGTATATGAACATATTTGTACACAACTAGAGGGTAGGGTTTAGGGTACACAATAGCATATTTGTACATATTTGTATCCAAACCATCTATTTTTAAGTATACATTCATAGATCATCCTTGCAAAAAATTAGACAAATCGGAAACCATTTCGACATCCAATTGTGTCCTACAAAATCAATGAACACGATGCTTCAAGAAAGTACTAAAATTTCAATAACAAAATTGAGTGGTCAAACGATATCGGATTCAAGTGATTTTTTGTAGAGATGATCTTTGAATGATTATCTAAAACATAGACGGTTTGGATTAATGAAATACAACGCGGAGTGAGCCCTACAAGAGTGTCCCTCAAATAAGCTAATTTGAGGGATCCCTCAATGGAAGCATATATATCATATTTGCATCTGTCTAGTGTTGAAAATTAAAAAGATGGAATCACCTCAGTTCTCAGCCGCCGAATTTCTTCAATTAGCATCTCATCCGACATGGATATGCATTTCTCTGCATTAGTGGAGCTTAAAAGAGCAGAATCTGAATGCACTGAGAGCACAGAAGATGAATTATTTTTGGACAAAGAGTCAAGTGCTGTAGAATTTTCTCTGCAGTATGGTTTAAATAGATCAGGGCATGGGACTTGGCCCCATCGTGGCACTTCGCTTGAAAAAGAAGAAACAGGTTCTAGATGCTGCTGGTCTCCTCCATGGTTCTTCATGGTGTTCCTCATTCCAGACTTGTTTTCCTTGTTACAAGCCTGTTTAATAGACAACAAGTGACCATATTTGGGCGTTGCTCCTGCCTTTTCTTCCTTCCTATCTGGGACTGCCTTTTCTTCTGTCGATAGCTGTTTTGTACTACGATTTTCTTGCTTGAATGATCTACATGAATGTGTTATTTTCTGCAGATTGTTAAAGCATGGATCACAGACTCGAAAAGCCTTGCCTTTCTTGGGTGCCAGAGAAGCATCCATAGCCTTCTTACTGCTACATGCATGGCAGAATAGAAGACCACAATTATAACAGTTATGCTTCTTCCTAATAAACCCAAAAGGCAGGTTACATCCATAACAAGTTGACTGGTCATTGACAGAAATAGATTTGTGTAAGCAGACTGCTGCTGTGGAATCTGATCCACAAACTATACTTTCTACCTGCCTGTGTCTCAACGCCTCCACAAAAGTGGGTGTGTTGCGATCATCAACATCACCTAATCCTAACTGTCCATTTGCCCCCTTTCCCCAGGTATAAACACTTCCTCTAGCAGTCAAAACAGCAACATGATATGAACCTGATGCTATTTCCCTAATGAACTCTTCTTTAAGCTTCCCTTCAACAACTGTGATTGATTTATCCTTGGCCTGTGGATTCCCTAACTGCCCATGTACTGCACTTCCCATTGTATAAACTGTACCTTTATTTGTAAGCCCAACGGTCAACATTCTTCCACAACAAACTTGAACAAAATCATGATCCACAAGCCGAGCAACAAATGTTGGTAAAAGCTTCCTCTCATTATCCACATGTCCAAGCCTTCCTTTATCTGCATCACCCCATGTAAACAACTTCCCACCTATGGAATTCAACCTGAGACGATCAACCATGATTTCAACTACAGCAGCCGTGTGCCATGATCCACATGAAACAGATTTTACCCATAAACCCTTGAGAGATTCAACTTCCTTTGGTTGAGAAACACTATCAAGATTTCCATGCCCCAGAACCCCAAAAGTTCCATCTCCATATGTAAATAACTGCCCTGAGGTGGACACTATAGCTGTATGCCATTCCCCACAAGTAACATTTGATATATTTATGCTATTTAAAGAACCAGAAAGTTTCTGCGGTAACCACTGACTCCTAGTCTTCTCCTTGCCCGCTAAACTGTCACCACAACTTGTGTCTCCCCATGTATATAGCTTACCAGAATGTGTCAGAGCACATGTTTGATATTCACCACACGAGACAGATTTCACCTGGATCCCATTAAGGGAGTCAACTAGTTTAGGGTAGCTCACATCCATATTGATTTTGTTCCCTAGTCTTCCCCCATCAGCCTGACCCCAGCAGAATACTTCCCCTTGCTTGGTAACTATAGCAGCATGCTTCCCTCCTAAAGATATATTATGTACATCCAACATCATAGTAGATTCTAATAACTTAGGCAATACAGCATCTACATGCAATCCACTGTTGTTAGTAATCCTATTGACCGCAGAATCTAAATTCCCTCCAATACTTTCACCCCAGATCATGACATCTTTCAAAATATTGTCCTTTTCAATTCTTGAAGTTCCAAAAGCATAGGAAACAAACCTATGAGGCTCATAGCCAGCATCAGAATAAATTCGCCT